AGTGCAAACTTGAACTCGGATAATGGGCCAGTGTAGAAGAAGAAAACACATGGGCACGAGTTATGAAGCAAATATCCCAGACTGTAACAAGATCACAAGCAGTCAGAATGTGCGATAACAGGGAACAAAGCTGACATGTTAAGTTGTGACATTCAACGTGACATTCAATGCTGCAGAACGAGAGAGCTTGGAAGATCAGGGCCCTACGCTATGCTTTTTTTTTTGCCTTTATGGCCTAGACCAAAAGAAGCATAGGGATTTTATAAATTCTTATAAATTTCTCATTTTTTAAGACATCACCTGGGATTCGAACCTGCACTATCGCCCTGAATGCATCCCCGATACACTTCGCATACATACATACTAATTCTTCCAAGTTGCTTCACGTTATGATCTTTCATTTGAAAGCCCTATTTGAATATGCATTGTGGCCAGCCGTCTTTGCTGGTCCGGTACGTTAAGGGACAGGTGCGGGACAGGTACGGTCGAGGTAATACGACACCGTCTACTGCATTGATGACATAGCCAAAAAAAGCATAGGGATGTTATAAAATGTTCAATTCTCCTTTTTTCAGGCATAACCTGGGATTCGAACCCGCACTATCGCCCTACATGCATTCCCTCATACACGACGGAGGAAAGCAGGTAGGGGTAGGTACGCGTTTTTCGAGCTCCAGTTTTTTTTCACATCGTCTCGGACAGCCCAGCCGGCATTAGGCCGGACTGGTGGCAGGCAGGTAGCAGTGGTTTCAGTGTAGCGTAGTGTAGTTGTAGCTTGGTAGCCAGGTTGCGACAAGGAGCAATCTGTCGCCATGGGCGAGCTCTCAAGGTAGAGGTACTCAGTAGTATTCCCGGGATCCACCACAACGTGATCAGTATGGTAGAAAATTTGGCTGCGCTCAAAAGTGAGTCAAGGGACAATGAAGCCCGCCTCCGGCGGAGACTAGACGATCTCTCAAACCTTGTCATTGAGCTAAGGCAAGAGGTAACATCATTGAAGGAGTCCGCCATTACGGCAAAGGCCAACAACGCCAAGAAAGCGACCAAGGAGAGTTCAAAAGCTCATGTACGGGATGACCGCGCATCCGTGACCCCCTGTACACGTACAGACCAACTTTCTGTGAGCTCGGTTCACGAACCGACCCCACAGTCCGACAGTCCAAAACCCCTTGCTCGAGCATGTGTACCAGAGGTGCATCGTGATGAAAGATCGGCAAATTCAAACCTGCTGCCCAGCTTTGAAGACGACAACGAGGACAGTGGACTTTGGGAGCTAGTTTGCAGCACAAAGCCCACGGGAAAGCGGAAAGTACTGTTTGTGGGGAACTTACCGAGTGACACGACTACGGAGAAACTCAGTCAGTTTGTCACCACCCGAGCAAGCTCAGCCGAAACTCAAGTCAAAATCCACGAGTGCAAGATCTTCCGGAAGGAAGCCAGATCCTCCGCACGACTCGTACTCAACTCGAAAACGGCTGCGCTGGTCAACTCCAAGGGATTCTGGCCGCGACCTGTATACTCACGCCAGTGGAATTTTGAGAAGTACCAGCACCTGTCCGACAAGCAATCTCCAGACGATCAACACATGAGCGCGTCCGACCAGGAGCCAGTGATAGACATGGTTGCCCCGTCTCAGATTCCCCCTCCGCCACCGCTACACCCTCTTCCAGGAAGCAACTAAGCCACAAACAAATATGTCAAGTCTATCGATCTTTCTGACCAATGCATTCGGTCTCCAGTCCAAGTTCGGTGAGCTACAACATGCCCTCCGTCAGCAGACTGTAGACATTGCCATAGTAACTGAGACAAAACTCACTGCCGAGAAAATGTCTCCAGCTGAAAGAATAATACCCGGATACTGCCCCGCAGTACGCAAGGACCGCACTGCACATGGAGGCGGTGTTGCTGTATGGCTAAAAGCAGGTCTGTGCTTTCGTCACCTTGACACCGTGCCATCTCATGACTTTGAAGTCATCTGGCTTCTTATTGAAACGTGTGATCATCATAAAATTGTATTCTGCGCCCTCTACCGGCCTGGGATCTCCAGTGAGTCAGATATCAGTCTTATTGAGTATATTGAGGAGACCTTGCTCGCTGTCCGGCACCTCGGTGACTATGTTCTGATCACGGGTGACTTCAATGTCCACAACACCGCTTGGCTGGGCAGCACCAAGACCACTGTTGCTGGGGAAGCCTTAGAGGACTTGTGCGCCTCGCACTACCTCACCCAACATGTCTCCGAACCAACCCGCGAGAACAACACACTGGACTTAGTTATATCCGACCTCCCAGGTGCAGCATCTGTCACCACTGGTCCGCCGCTTGGACGCTCAGACCATGTCACTATCTTAACGGAGTTCAAGACCGTACGTCCCCGCAAGGAGCAACCGGCCCTAAGAATCGTCTGGCAGTATGCTAGGGCAGACTGGGGAAGGATGCGCGCACATCTTAGCCGCATTAACTGGCCAACTGTCCTATCAAATGACCCTGACGCTGCTTGTGAAGCCCTCACAGGAATTGTGCGTGATGCCATGTCTCAGTTTATTCCCTCCAAGACCATTAAAGTAATGGCCACTGACCCGGTCTGGTGGACACCTGCCTGCCAACAAGCGGTGCACCTAAAGCAACAAGCCTGGAGAGTTTGGAGGCAAGACCCCGATAGCTTGCAACAGAAAGAAACCTTCCTGGCATCCGTTACACATTGTGTGCATGTTCTGCAACATGCCTAACAGCAATGCAAAGAGCGAGCTTCTAGAAAGCTGTCATCTGGCTCCTTGCAAGACAAGCAATGGTCGACAGATCTGGACACGAGCACACCACTGCTAGGGAGAAAGCCGAGTGCTTTGCCCAATACTTTGCCATGAAGTGCAGCCTCGGCTCCAACGATTTCTCTGCCTCTGATCAGCTCCCTGCTATGCAACTTGATGCCACGGCACCTCAGATCACAGCCATCCACTTTCGTCCAGCCAATGTCCGTCGTCAACTAGCGGCGCTAAATCCGCACAAACTTTGCTTCGTAACTCGTTCCCATGTGATTGCTTCTTCTATTTGAAAATGACTATCCTTAAGACTCGAGCGAATACCGTATGGAAGGAATGAATTTCTTGAAGAATTCTCATGTTGCAACAAGTTCTCTGGAAATTATAATGAAACAAAACATCTAAAAAATGTGTGTGTGTGTGGGTGTGAATTTGTGTGTGAATTTGTGTGTGTATGTGTGTGTGCGTGTGTGTTTGTGTACGTACATGTGTGTGTGTGTGTTTGTGTGTGTGCATGTGTGTGTGTGTGTGTTTGTGTGTGTGCATGTGTGTGTGTGTGCATGTGTGTGTTTGTGTGTGTGTGCATGTGTGTGTGTGTGCATGTGTGTGTTTGTGTGTGTGTGTGTGTGTGTGTGTGTGTGTGTGTGTGTGTGTGTGTGTGTGCATGTGTGTGTGTGCATGTGTGTGTTTGTGTGTGTGCATGTGTGTGTGTGTGTGTGTGCGGTTCTCAAGGCCACAGGACTTGCAACGCCATGCCAAATATTGTTGACTTTGCGATTTCTCTCTCTTCTCCTCTCTCTTCTTGTCGTTGTCTCCCGCTTCTGGGAGAGGCGTGGCCCGATAGGGCAGCTGTACATAGTAGTACTTGGTCCGGCTCATCGCAACTGTCGCTTATCTCCCACGCACTTTTTGACAGGTAAAACCCAGTCCAATCACGATATCTAAATTACTTTTGCTTGGGAGGTTGTGATGGCAAGATCAAATGAGGCACCAAAGAACAAATGATCGCGACTAGCGCTTTGAATCGCGATGTGTTCGACTTTTTTGGGAAGTGGAAATCTGTCTGTGTTGCCAAAAGCCAAGCGCAGCGACCCGAAGACCGGAACTGTAGCAGGGGCAGCTGACATCCTGGAGAGCGTGACAGGCACGCGTGCACGGCAGAGGAGTATGAGCGTCATGCTGAAGAAGAAAGGTGTTTTCGATGCGATGCGCGCATGCGAGGGACGTTTTGGTTGTTCCTTCGTGGACCTGGCAGCAGCATTACAAGAGTCGTCGTCAGCGTATCCAGTGGAGCGTATGACAGCTGTCTGGAGAGGCCTGTACGCCTCATTCGAAGGCTCTGTTGAAACACACTGTGGTGACACACAGGTCACACTGCCCACGGTTCCTTCAAGCACCGAAGTGACGGACACAACTGTTCCTTTTCCATTGCTGCCATACGACAGGCTGACAAAGCAAAAGATACTCTAGTCTCTACCAGTCTACGCCAGCAGCTAGACACCAGCAATTTAATGTCAGCTCATGTAACGGCGGCAGCTCGAGTGATGGAGAGTTCAATGAACCGTCTGGACCTGTAGCCGTGTGAGTCCTCCGCTGATTTATTTCGTGCATTTTGCTTACTTTGCTTCCCTTCTATGACTCGCTTCACCTGATTCCATGCCTGAATTTCGTTTCTTGTGGCGGAGAGTATTCATGTATCATGCTTCTTCACTATGCCTATTGAAAATTTCACAGAGCAGCAACAAAACTCCTGTTCTTAGTGGCAATAGATAAGCCGCAATTGCGATGAGCCGGACCAAGTAGTAGTAGTAGTAGTAGTAGTAGTAGTAGTAGTAGTAGTGTGCATGTTAGTGTGTGCATGTGTGTGTGTGTGTATGTGTATGCATGTGTGTGTGTGCATGTGTGTGTGTGTGTGTGTGTGTGTGTGTGTGTGTGTGTGTGTGTGTGTGTGTGTGTGTGTGTGTGTGTGTGTGTGTGGCGTTCAGCCATGTATGCGTGTGTTCTCGCCGGTTCCGTTTGCCCCACCATCTCCGGCGTCATCAGGCTGCGTGCTCCATCTTCCTCTCTGATGCCCTCCGGGGCCCACGTGACCCCTGTGGCAGTGGCTCTACAGGACAGGACAGGTGTGTGTGTGTGTGTGTGTGTGCATGTGTGTGCATGTGTGTGTGTGTGTGTGTGTGTGTGTGTGTGTGCATGTGTGCATGTGTTTGCATGTGTGTGTGCATTGTTGTGTCTATGAAGCTAGACTGCGCACAGTCTTTAACCCACGGCGACTTGCTATTACCTATGGTGCGGGACAACAAACCGTCTATTCGCTTCTCGGAAACGAAGAATTGCCTAAATGCAATGTATTATCAGAATCTCTCCTGGCTCCACGTATGACCTTAATGAGCACGAAAGGCAACAAGATGCCTGTAATGGTTAAATCTCATTTAAACTTTCAATACGACCTGTATATCACTTGGACAATCATTAATCACTGGCAACATCCATACTTCACGACTGCCGACACCGGGAAATACAAATGCCATTTTGGAAATCTAACCGCCCGTGATTCGTTTATGCTATATGTAATAGGTAAGTGAGTCTACTGATACTGCCTACCATTGAATACAGCCAAATTGATAACGACGTGCTTTTGAACACGCAGTCAAGAAGTCTGTCACATATCTGAGCCAAGTTGCCCAAGGGGTCATGTTTGTTTCTGCCCTGCACCTACTAGAAGACCAGTACAAACCATTCAGACACTCACCTCACCTCTGTAACTTAACCCTCATTCCGGGTTGCTGGGTCTAAACGGACCCCAGGGGTATGATTTTTGAAATATTTTTACTTTGCTGCATCACATCTCACTGAAGCTTCATGTATTCCTCAACAACACAATAACCGAGATAAATAAATAGTCTGGGTTAGCAGTTCATGATGGATTACACTTTTATTACAGAAAATGCGGGAGGTCTCCAAATGGACCCCAGTAACATAGAGCACAACAAGTGGAACAATTGCGTTAGTTTTGGTATTTATCTCCATGGTCACCGAATACATTGATGACGTCCACTGAAGTATGAAGCCCTACAAGAACATGTTTTTCTACAGCCATAATCCCTCATTCCATGTTGACATATCGAGTACATGTATATCGGGGTGCTTTTGGACCCCTGCAACGTTTTCGGTGGGGGTATTCTTGCAAACTTGCAAATAATCCAGACAAACTTCAGAGCTGTCAATAAATGCAAGTTTCGTCAAAGCATTGGTCTAAGGCAGGGAGTCGTAAAATACCGGGAGGCGACTTGCCACACATTTCATGATCCGGGGATTGCTTCACTCGACCCCCGAAATTTGAAACATGATTGAAATGTCGTCGCCATCATTTTTTTCTCAATTGTTTTTGCTATATGCTTCGAGGCCTATTCTGGATCTCCAGAGCGAAAGCTGGTTGTTTCTGATACGTACCCGCATTACCTTAGGTTGAGCCGTGGCTTTTATATTTTTTGAAGTTCACTGCTTTGGAGACGACGGAATGTTGAGGTAAGTTAATCACGAAATGTACTCAAATTTTAATTGAGTCATTTCGAATGACACCCAGTTTTCGGAATAGTACTCCACTAAACATACCATGCCCATGGCCCCTTCATGTTGGCCAAGTTCCATTCTCGGTTTGTGTGAAGTTTCAAGATGAAGTTCGATGATTTACTCACCTTTCCATGGAAGGGAAAAAAGGTGCATGTAAAACAGTGTCCATGCAGTATTTGATGCCACTATCCTCATTCTTCTGCATTCAAAGTGTTTCACATCTATATGGTCCATGAACTGCACACAGTATTTGTCATATCTCATATCTGGTCATAGCTGTTCAGAGGCGTTCATAACTGTTCTGAAAACATTGCCTTCAGGAAACCTAATGCCGAGTCTCCTGACCAACTGAGCAAAGTTCTCTGCGACGAAAGTCGCACTAACGGCGAATGCACTCAAGGCGAATACCCTGTATACTGCTTGATCCACTTATCCCAGAAGCATACATCGTCCCAGTGAATTCGCCGTAGCTGCTCTGCCCTTCACGCTGGCGGGCTAGATCTGCAAACTCTGTGAATTCTCCCGCCTTCTGTGTTCACAGTCCCATACTCCCCTTGGAGTAGTCTGCACGGCGCTGCTGCTGCTGCTGTTGCTGTTTTTTGATTTTTTTAATTCTTTATTCTCACGATGGCACCATCGCCAATAAGAGATAAGTTGATGAGAAGGTGAGATTCCGGGTTAAACAGTTGGAAAGTGATTTACATCACTTTGAACTTTACAAGTATGGGAGAGGGTGAACGCTGCAGGAGCAGATTGAGTTAATCAGCAGCGAGCAGATTTCTTGTTTGAAAGCAGGTCGGGAGGAGACGTCACGAATGCTAGCAGGGAGGGCATTGTAGTATTCTAGGGACTTGTACAGTGGGGAGTCTTTACAGCGATCGGTTCTGGAGGGTGGGAGGTGCCAAGTGCGTGCGTGTCGAAGGCTGTACTGGGCCGTAACTTGAGCGGGGGTGTTGAGCAAGCGTATGTGTTGTGGGGCATATTGGTATTTTATGGAGTGAGCAAGAAGGGTGAGCTTCACTTTGCGGCGAGAGAACATTGTCGGCCATTTGAGCCGATGGAGCAGTGTTGAATGATCCAGAGGAGTGTAGAGGGGGAGACGGAGGCAGATTCTGGCCGCCTTGCGCTGGATTCGCTCAAGACGGTCAAGGGCTGCGATTGAGAGCGGGGTGACAGCAATGCATGCATATTCAATTATAGGCAGGATATACGTTTTGTAAATGAGAGAGAGTGGTTTAGTGTGTAGAGTTGATTTGAGCCTAAAGAGAATATTAAAAGATTTTACGGCTTTCTTCAGCACAAAGTCAAGGTGGGCTGACCATCTTAGGTCGTGCTGAAAGATGATGCCGAGGTGATGTTGTTGTGTTACTGTTTCTAGTAGGGTTTGGCCAAGTTTTATTTCGGGTAGTCGTGGTGGGGGTCGGTTAGCATGGTAGAACGGGAGGATGACGGTTTTCATTTTATTGACTAGCAGGTGCCAGCGCTCTAGCCATTCTGCTGCGTCATCGACGCTTCTTTGTAGCGCAGCCTCACACTCAATGTAGCTGCCTGCATTGGCAATTAGTGCGGTGTCGTCCGCGAACTGGCTACACGAGGTTGTAGCATTTTCACAGGCAGTGGGCAGGTCAATGGTGTACGCCAGGAACAGAAGTGGTCCCAGGACCGAGCCCTGGGGCACTCCCGCTGGTATTGGTATGAATGCGGATGTTGTGCCTTCAACCTGCACCCACTGTCTGCGTCCTGTCAAGTAGGCTTCGAGCCAATTGTGAGCCTTGCCGTCGACACCATAGTGGCTCAGCTTTTTCAGCAAGCCTTGATGCCATACACGATCAAAGGCTTTACTGAGATCGAAGAAACACGTTACAACATGCTTCCCCGCATCCCTAGCTGTGGATATCTGGTGGACGATCCGTGCGAGTTGCAGTTCGGTCCCGTCTTGTTTCCTGAAGCCGGATTGGTTGGAGGGTAAGTGCGGTGCTATGTGATTGTACAGACGAGAGTGGACTATTTTTTCTTGTGTTTTTGATATTATACTGAGCAGGGAGATGGGTCGGTAGTTGGTAGGATGGGAGGGGTTGCCCGACTTGGGGATGGGTGTAATAGTTGCATCTTTCCAATCCTGAGGTATTTCTCCGGTTCTGAAGGACAGATTGTAGAGACTAGTGAGAGATGGGGAGATTTCCTTTGCAGTTTCTTTCAGGAGCCGAGCTGGGATGTTGTCAAAGCCTGGGCTCTTGCCAGTGTCTAGACTGCTTAGAAGCTTCTCGACCTCTTCCACTGTTGCTGTGATTGTATTTAGAGTATGACTGATGTCAGGGGTAGTGTTGATGTCTGGTGTAGTACAGGTGGTCTTGTCGATGGACTGTTGGCTTTGGGAGATAAAGAACCTGTTGAGAGCTGTTGCCTTCTCCATAGCCGTGGCTGCAGTGGAGTTGGCTGTCGATAGTGTGGGAATTGTTTGCTTAGGCGGTTTTTTCAGGTGCTTCAGTAGACGGTGGAGGTTTGTACCCGTTGACGTTGTTTGCTGGACAAAGTCGGACTTAGCCTGTCGCAAAAGAGCGGTTACTCGGTTACGCTGGGCTGTGTACAGTTTCCAATCTGAGTCTAGTTGGGTCGCCTTGTAGGTGCGGAACTGTTTATGCTTTGTTTTGATCTGGCTGAGGAGATCCTTCGTCATCCAGGGACGAGTGGGCGTAGAATTTTTGCGGGATTTGCTTCTGGTCACTTGGCAGTGGTGCACGGCTAGTTTCAGTATCTGGTCTCTCCAGAAGTTCCAGAATGAAGTCACTGGCTGAGGGTCAGTGGGATGTGGATCGTACTGCAGATTGCAGGTAGCAAGAGCTTCACGCAGGGACGCAATGCGTTCCTCGCTCCACAACCAGTATGTGCTGGATGTGCTTTGCTGTGTAGTACTGCTCTCATTTTTATTATTATTGTATTATTGTTTCTGTGGGTGGTGTGCTGCTGGGGTCGTATGTTGCCTTGCAACATGATCAGAGGCACCCATAGGGGGCAGGCTTGTGATGGTGATGTTATGGCGGCTGAGGCTAGAGATGGCCAGGTCCAGGCACGATGAAGGTGTGTGTTGGCGTAGGTGGGTGGCAAAGGAGACGTGTTGTGTGAGGCCACGAGTCTCGCACAGCCAATGCAGGTCCTCACCTAAGGCATCGGTGGTGTCGCTGGGGTGCCACAAGCAGTTCTTGGCGTTGAAGTCGCCAAGGAGAAGTATCTCATCCTGGGGTCTTTCAACTAGCTTTATGGCTCTCTCCAGTTCCATCACGAACTCTGCGGGGTCGGACCGCGGGGGACGGTAGATGTTCCCTACCACAAGGGAGGCTTGGCCGATTGTTATTCTAATCCAAATACATTCCGCTTGAGTCATGGGAATGGTAATTGTCTCGTGTTGGCAGCTGTGTGGTATGTATGTGGCGACTCCTCTACCAAAGGTGTCCCGGTCCGCTCTTATGAGTTTGTAGCCGTTGATGGCGTACATCCCGTCGCTGTCCGATGGATCCGCCCAGGTTTCCTGGATGGCGATTATTGACGGTTGTTGCAACTTTGCCACGTGGCTAAGCTCGTCCATCTTGTTGAACAGACACCTGACGTTCGAGCTGATGAAATTCGCGACTTCCATTATTTTTTTATTTTTTTTTATTTGTTTCGTTTTTTGGTATTTCCGCAATTGAAAGTATTGTTCTCACTGATATTGTGTGGAGGACAGCGCTAGGATTGAGTATCTTGTGACACCAGTGGGCTGAAGCGTGAGCCCTGTGCTGGGGCAAGGGGTTGGCTTTGGCCAGGGTCGATGTTGTTCCTCTCTTTTTGTTTTTTGGAATTTTTGAAATCAGGTGAGGATTCCGCATTGGGACTGGGTCTCCTGCGTCGTTCGGAGGTAATCCAGGGGTTTGCTGGCTGGTTAGACATGTCTGTGTTAGTCACCAGTGAGGAGAGGAGGTCTTCAGCACGCGCTGAATCTGGGTGACTACACTTTGTTGTCGGAGTAG